TACTTTCCTTCCTCCAGAACAACAACAAAAAAAGAAAACAATGATGAACAGTAGAACAGATTACCTAAGAAGGAAGTGCAAAGAAAGGTGATTGATTGACTTTGGGGAGGAAAAAAAATAGTGTCTTTTGCTGTGGAAAAAACAGTTAAGGATAGCAACTGTCAGAAGAGTAGACAGTCTAAAATCAAATTAAGAAAAAACGCAGAACAGACGTGACTAAAGATGGCAGTTAAGTAGAGGTACTGAAGATGTGGAAAGCTTCAAGACACAAAATCAACCTTCGAAAAGATGAAAGAGGCAAGGCTACACATCTGATAGGAATACAGTAAGATGTAGAGATAAGTGGAGGACATGACTATTGCAGAAGTGTAGAGTGGATTTTGTATACCTTTACTGTCATACAAATAGTCTCTCATGTACATAATGTTCTAAAGAGAATGCCAGTATTTTTTCTGCAAATTTATGGGCATTATTCCAGAAAGGAATGCATATAGGGAGAGAAAGCACAACATTAGTCGAGGCAGTGAATACTGAAGGAGAAAAAAAAAAACAAACGTATAGAACTAACAGATTCTGAGAAACAAACTTGGAATGGTGAAGGAAAGGATAATATGTATTTTAAATCTAGAGAATAAAACTTTGTGTTACACAGCTGCCACATGTATGGTTTATTAAATACTGAAATGCTAACATATTTAGGAGAATGCTAGAGAAACAGCTCTCAGAACTGTTGTTAGAAACTATGACATGCAGAGAAAATGGTTCAGTAAAATAAGAGAAGAAATGAGAGGCATAAGAAAAGAAAGTGAGATTGCATTACGTTCCTGGAACATCTTCTCATAGGACAAGTGGGGCAAGAAAACGGTAGACAGTGGATAAACTGATTTAGGTGAGACATATAAAGGAAGTTTAGAGATTTTATAGACAAATCCTGCCAGAAGGAAGTGAGGAGTGCTGCATGGTGGATATCTTCCTCTGAGTGAAACCTCTTTTTGATACAAGCTGATCAGTCGTTTTAGGAGAGCATCAGAGTAGTGATGGAGTGCTCAAACTAACACAATGAAGTGCAGAGAGAATGTAAGACATTCACCTTCTTTTTTTCTTGATTGCTATTTATTACCTTCTACACTGCTCCGAAAATGCCCAAACCACTGGCTGTCGACAAGATGTACTTAATACAAACAAAGGAAATAGTCCTTCATAAAGAACATAAGCATTGATCCATATTACAGACAGATGGAATATCAGAAATTCATTGGCTGCATAATTGTATCATACTAGCTACATAACTACTTTGTTTTAATAAGAAGTTCTTATTAACCTAACAAATAAGCATGATTAATTTGTTCACATTCTATGTTATGTAGAAATAGTAATAAAGACAAAAACATATGGATCTAATTTTGACATCAAATACATTACACAACTATAATAAGTATTTAATTGCAAAGTTTATGATTTTGTCTAATTTGTCTCATTTGCAAGGAGACAAGTCAAAGTGGTATAGGAGTTTTTTGAAAGGTTACAGGACGTACTACATACGGAGTGATACACAGAATCATTCCTTCACTAGAGACTTTGGACTATGTAACCAGCTCCAAAGCTCTTGGGACAAAATATACACACACACAAGTTTAAGAGGTAAATGGCAGTGACAACTCACAACTCTGGTACAGCTGAATCTACTGAAGTTTCTAGATGTTTTAAAATTTACTTTGTTTAAATGCCACAAATACTTTAAAATGTTATGAATTTTTACAGTATTATACAGTATGATTACAGTATTAATACTAAACAGGGTTATGTTATTTGTTCTTTCACCTCATCTACATAAATTTTCATAGCCATCTTGCTTTGAAACAGTGCCTCTAGTTTTCTGGACAGTTATTAATTATCTCCCTGTTTTCAAAATTTATTCCTCTCTACAAACATTAATGACAATTTTTACCCAAATGAACATTTCAGCTTTAATGTATGAACTATGAAATCAGCTACTGAGAAATTTTACGTTCACCACTTCCATCATTAAAGAAGATATTTTGAAATTATATTTTTTCTGCATAGAAATGAATAGTTACAAAGCATTAGAGTCTTAAGCTGTATCAGGACTCATTCTTCAAGTACTTTTATTAATGATTCATGCCATGGAAATCTTCATTCTTGCCTCTGTGACCTTCTTCACAGAAGAATTTCAAATTGTGGATTATTTTCTTCAGGTAACAGTTTGGGTCTGTATGCTAACTCGCCTCTCTCTCAGAATATTTCTCTTTTTCATGGTTTGGGTCATACATTTTTCCCAGGCTTATAGTATTTTTATAAACAAAAGCATATTGTAAAGAAGTACAGAGGAGACATTCTTCCTTCTGAAGAGCTATTATCCTTAACAGCCTCTTTGTAATTAGCTTTTAAAAGTTTTTGCTTTCTTTAAGCTTTCTCAGAAAAATTGTTATAGAATCTATTGTTATAGAACAGCATGTTCATGAATATACTCAGTAACCTTTTTTTTCCAATAATAAGTAATGCATGGAAATTATTTAGTTGTTCACTAAGATTATAGGCTAGCTGAGGTTCCAGGTATTATTGCTTAATGAAGAGCACTTTAAGATCAAACTCTCAGAATCTTTTGTCTGCAGGTTTCAAAACTGTTTACGTTATTGATGCTTTTGAACTTTACAGAAACTTAATGGAACTTACATTCCGAACTCATGCTGGCACTTTTGGAAACACCTTCCATGATCATTAAGTTAATGGGACTTAACCTGGCATATTTACAATCTTTGCTTAATAAGTACTCCAAGCAGGCAGAAGAAGCACCCAGCTCGCTTAAAAGCAGGGAAGTTGAATTCTATCAGTAAGTCTTCCACTAATTCAGTCAGTGACTTAGAATGGTTACTAAAGCCAGCAGTTTTAAAAGCCACCAGCTAAATTAAGGTACTAAAAAACACTTCAAGGAAAGATTTACATTGACTGTAGGAGGCTCTGAATCAGTCTGCAAATGGCTGATTAGTAAAATGTGCTGAATACTTGCACTAATTGCTTAAGTCAACAACAGATGGAGGAGTTGGCATCCATGGACATAAGGCCACTCCTTCATATATCCAACTTTAGACGTGTAAGTATGAACATTTGAGCTCAAGCTTTGCGTCCCAGCTTTTCAAACAGTAAAATAAGTCTTAAGGAAACCCCATTCTCATGTGTTATAGTGAAAATGCTATTTAATTATTCATACATCAGCTGTGTCACAGACAACCACACATACAAACAACCGCCAAACGTGCCCTTTCAGCAAGTCTGCTCCCCTGGCAGTCCCAGCCCTCCCTTCCTGCCTGCTTCAGCCCCTCCACACCCAGCTTCCAGCACTGGGATCCCTTCCTGATCAGCAACCGCCTTCGTTCCCAAACCAGCCCCTTCACGCCTACCCAAGATCCCAGCCTCCTTACCCAGCAATCTTAGACTATATTGCTGTTCAGTCTTCTCCCCAAGTATCTCCTAGCCTCCCAACAGCCAAATTTTATGTCCTGTTCCATACCTGGGAACAGGAGGGCTGTGCCAATGAGGAAAAGGTCACCAGGATTTTCAGTATAAGAAAACAATTATCTACTTCATTTTCGGAAAGAGCAGAACTACTTGAAGTGAAATCTTCCTTCTCTCTCATACACATGTGGACACATAGAAAAACACAAAAGTTCTGTGAAAGAAAATAATGTTTTGCCCCAGTGAATTCAAATGATATTAGAAAGATTATGTCTGGAAAAGATATTAATAACTGAAACCATTCATCAAGAAAATGTGGGACTGGAATATGAGGAAGGGGAGCTGGACCTAGAAGCTTAGAAAGCGTTTGGACAATCTGGGAAAGAGAAATGTTGGGTAAGACTAATAGATGCACTGTCAGCTCTGCCTGTGAGGTAGAGAAACATATGCAAAATCATCATAGAAAAACAGGTAGCTCCAGTGTTTGAATATTAGAAAGTAGCAAATGAATTAATATTTCCCAAGAACATGATTAACGCTTTAGTGATAATCTGGAAACAAACACCCTGCAGGAGTATTTAAAAGTGCAAATCGAGGACATACATATCACTAAAATATTCTGAGTATAACAGCATTTTTTTCATTTAAGTTCTCATTGCATCAAAGCCTATTTAATATTAATGAAATATTTAAAGTTAAGTTTTTCTCTTCTTTTTCTTGTGTGCTATAGTACAACAAAACAAATGAGTTTTCTAGTGCTACATTTGAGTGCTTTGAAGAAACTGATATAATTTAGTGCCAGCTAATAAAAGAGTAACTGCACGTACAGTACAAATAACAAGATAAGTATTATGTTGCCTTAATGCATAAGTAAAGAATCCATTTCTGACCATTTTCCACATAGACCATTTGCCTAATGAAATCAGCCTTCCTTCCTCTTCAAAGTACTGCTTTGTATTACCATGGCTGGATTAAAATAGCCTCTTCACTGACTCAAACCACTCTCTTTCATTACCACAACATTCAAGCATAGTGCAAAGCAAATTCAGTCGTACAGCCAGCCTGATGTTGAAATAAAAAAAATCCCATTTGATTATCTGAGTGACAGGTTCCACAACCGAACTTCGTGCAGTAGGCAAAATTGTATTAAAGTCCTCGTATGCTGAATTCAACAGGGATACTCAATGTGCAGTTTGCTTGCATGCACCCATCGAAGGCAGAAAAAACAAGGCTCCAAGACATAAACAAGCTCAGGGGAAGCATTCCAACACAAATTTTGCCCACAATCTCACTGATGGTATATGTATAACTGCTGGGAAATCCCTACACTAGGATGGAGGGGCTACATTCTGACCTTTTGGGGCATCTGCAATCTGAAAGCGATGGCATTACACCTATTTAATAGAGATTAATAAATTTCTTTGATTCCAGTATTAGTATCTGACAGACCATGTGCAAAATTACACAGCTTTTCTCAAGTGTTTCTAGTGGATGTATTTTCTTTCTTAAATTTAAAATTAACAAACCTTCCCAGTCAGCTTTGAAAGATCATCTCCTCCCATTATCTGCATATCTTGCATAGACTGATCATTCTGAAAGAAGAAAGACAAAACTTTGAAGTTGGATATAACTGTATAAAATAAAAGTATAAACATGTTAACTTTTTTTGCATCTTTCACAGTCTTGGTTATCAATATTTTCTAATGCTTGTTAGTATTGGTGTATGAGAAAACCACATTCTCACTTGTTCCTGTGGCTTCTATCATCTCCTGGTTATAATTAAGCTAACATCAAGCTCCAGGCTTTACTGAACTAAAAGAAGTTGCATCTTTCTTTCTTAAATAAATAATGTTCCCTTGCTTGCTATTTCTTAATATGACAAGTGTTGAGTAACGTATTTGTCCCTTTCACAACAGGAGGACAGGAGCATCTCAACACTTGACCAAACACCTGTAATCACATTCTTTTTTCAGAACAGTCTTTAGAAACACAGGCAAAATGTGCTTACATCTGTCACTCACACAGACAACTCAGCTATTTTTGAAGAAATTCACTCAGTATTTTTTTCAGAGGAAAAAAGTTTTGCAAAAATTATCACTTGTTATCAAGAATAGTTCCAGTGTGCCATACAGTTTAAAGAGTTTTGGTTTTGCTTTTTCAACTAACTCAAAGATAAAATCCTTGAGGTCAATTTCGTAAAATAAAATACTGCCAATCTGGTCAAAATAAACACAACAGAATAGTATGCTTTGATTTTCCTATTAGAGAAGGTATTTTTTCAAAAAAATCAGTAAAACTTTTTCTGATAAATTTGTTTTACAGATATTTCTAGCTGAAATTCATTCTGATGGAAAATTCTCAACCAGCTCTAGTTCAAATTCATTCTCAGCAGCACGCAAAGTTAAGATCACATAAGGGAGATATACGGAAGCCCTACTTTTAAGGGAAGACAAAAGAGGCCTTAAAGAAGGTAGCAAATTAAAAACTATACAGTCATGGCCAGGCTATATGAACTTTCCAGAGAAAGCAAGAGCAAAACTAAGTATAGTTAATGTGGGGGTTTTGCCAAATTGGTGCATATGTGCTAATCTCATCTCCCTACCCATAGGAAGACAGCGTTAGTCCAATTTTAATAATAGCTGCAGTACCACAACGTGACACTGTAGTTTACTAGTAACATCAGGAAGATTTATCATTACAAACAACTGACAAAAATGCAATACTTGAATACTTTGCTTTTATTTCATAAATCCAGTGCTCTGAAGTCAAATGTTTTTCCATGAATAAATAATGGGACAGCAGGACTTATAAGGGAGGTGAGGATATACTGGGCTAAGGGGTTTGTAGCTCTTCTTCTTCCCCTCAAAAAGCAGCACCCGCAGAGGTAGCACGCATGTGCCTGCCACGAGGCACGGTTACAGCTGCACACCTGCGCAGATGGAAACTGCATCTGTCCACACTCACAGCCCAGCTGGCAGAAGTCCAGGGACGTCCAAGGCACCTTTGCAGCCACTTGATCACAAGCAATCTGACAACCCCAGGAACTATTCGTGGTCCCCATGGGAATGGATTGTCTAAATTAATACAGCCTTCCTGAGTAACTGTAAGTAAAGGTTGCAGAATTGCCCAGATGACAATTTCTCCAGGTTTGCATCCTGCAGACCCATCAAAATGCTCCCCTTTTACTCAGACTCCGCTCCCCCAAAAACTCTCACACCACAGCTTTTTAAGAGGTCCTTAGCAGTCATTGCCTTAGGAGACAGTTTTTTAGACCTGCCTTCACTTTTTCTGCACCGAATCGAGGAGCTTTAGATCCTTTTCATGCTGCTCTTATTCGTTTCCTGGGAAACAGAGCT